CGGTATTTCAGTGCTGAAAATTCCTTTGCACAGCCTTGCATCCCTAACGCGTGCATGGGCAGATGGGTTTTGCATTGTTCTCGGGTTTTCTTGGCTATTTGGGTTTAAAAGCCCAGCTCGATGCTGCAAAAATCCTCTTTTCCTTGTCCTTCGCCTCTCCAGGTACTCCATCCTCCGGCTGATGATCGAGCAAAGGCTGGAGGAGATTTCCGAAGGCCCGACAGCGATGTGAAACGCTTCGCCGGTGCCCTGGCTCCGGGCTGCAGCCCACCAAGAGCCATTTGCCCGCAGGACGTACCGTACCAAACCCCAAACCCCGTCATTCCCGGAGCCCGCCCAGTGTCCGCCCGGATCGCCCCGGCTCTGAGCCGACCCGTCCTCCTGCACCTGCATCCGCGCAGCATCCTCGGGGGGCTCCTCCTCTGCAAAGGGGGCAGCTTCAGCCAAAACCTCAAATCCCTGGAAATAACGGGGGGGGGAAAAAAAGAAAAAAGAGGAAATCCTTGGGTAGGGCGAAGCCACTGAGGATGGGGCCAAGCAAGCGTTGGAGAGCAAGAATTTGGGGCTCGGTTTGAAGACGCTCGCTTCAGCGGTGCCCGCGCGTGGCTCCCGGCAGAGGACCTGCTGCTTAGTGGCAAGAGAGCACAAATAATTCCTCTTCTTCTTTTTTTTTTTTTTTTTTTTTTTTTTTTTTTTTTTTTTTTCAAAAAGAAAAAAGCACATTTCTATTGCAATAATTCGCAGGTGACGGGAAGCTTTTGTAAATAGAAAGGGTCGGCTGGGAATTGGGGTTTTTTTAACACTTTTGCTGCCGAAAGCAAACCTGGGGACTGACGGTTGGATTTACAGTGAAGGAGTAAATCGCGTTTTTCCAGCGTGTTCCCTTAACCTGCATCTGGTCGCGTAACCCCCTCCTTCCCCCCTTTCTAATTTGCACTAATGTTAGGGATTTTTTTAAAAAAACAAAACAAAAACCACGATGTCAAACCTCTCTGGTAGCTGTAACATGCCAAATAGCGCACGCGGGGGGAGTCGACGGCGCTGAGCATCTCTGAGGGATGCTGTATGGAAAAAGCGGCGGGGGAGGTAGGAGGAGGGGGAGGCAGAAATAAAGAGGGGTTTATTTTGCAACTTGATATTTGCAGCGGTGCTGGCACATCATCCCAGTGACACCGGGACCAGGACTGCCATCACACCTGGAAAAACCTCCTTCCTCCCAGGCTAAACCAGCAATACCAATTTTATACCTCGATGTGAACTAAAACTCTGACTTTCTCCCTCCCTTCAGTTTTTGCAATGCATCTTTGTAATTATTTTTTTTTTTAATTTTAATGGTACCTTTTTCCACCTTTAACACATGTTAGGGAAAGCACTGTACAGCGAGAAAGGCTTTTTATGTATTTGAAGGATGACTGTGGCATTGCTCCGTTGATTAACACGAAAACAAAATATGTAGCAACTTAATACAGAATGAAAACTCCTGAGCTGGAGCCTGGTTTGTTCGAGTTAAAGCGCTTTGCGGATAGAAACGGGCTGCTGGAACGGGCCGGCTCCGTGTGGGCTAGGAGCGACCAGGGGGAAGAGCAAAACTGCCCGAATCCCAGTGACGTTTCCTAAGGAAAAATGCTCCTGCCCTGCAGGTTTGGAGACTTGCAACTGAATTGCTGGAGGGTTTTGGGGACGTACTGGGCTGCTGTAGGGTTTACCCAGCCCTTAGAGGCTGTTTGTGCCCATGCACCGTGGTTGGCAGGCTCCATCCTCTGGGTATTTCCCTTCTAGAAGGTAAAACTCACCTCTGGAAGAAAACCTCTGCGTTGCTTAGCCTTGTTTTAAACACACTGAGTTTTTAAACCTGATATATTCAGGGGTTTTTTGGCTCCTCGAGGCTGAGCTCTCTGCATCCCCCAAGTTATCCCCAGCCACGCTTTCCTTTCTCCCCGAAGCCGCCAGTCCCGTGTTATCCAGCCCACTGAAGCCCATTTATCCCTCCCCGTGCAGGAGGGCGATACGAGTGACGTTGGCTTCGCTTATCAAAGCTTTTATCCGCCGGGAAAAGTCCGATGTGAGTCCAGCCCGGCTGGCGCAGACGGGAAGAGCCATCGCCGGCGCGGCACCGGGTGCACGGGTAAGGGCAGCATCCACAGCAGGAGTCGAGGGATAGAAAGGGAAAGATTTGGGTAGACGGGAAGGGGGAAAGGGTAAGGTTTTGGCACATGCCAGAGCTGGAAGTTGGGATGGGGAGAGCAGCCTGGGGGAGGCACCGCACTCTGCCCGGACGCTTCAGCACTGGGGTTTTCCCCAGGTTGTGATCCATAAACTTGGATGTTGTAAAGGAAATAAAGATGGGGGGGGGGAAATAGGAAGGAAAAGATCCCCACGTCTTAATTTTTGTGGGGTTTTCTGCCCGGGTTTGCAGTATTTCCAGCGGTGGTGATGCAGCTGCAAACAGCTGGAAAGGGGACACGCATTTCTCCGGGCTTTTCTGAAAATAAACCACCTTAGTTGGAGGAGCAGGGCAGCAAAATGAGGCAAATTAAATTAATCAAGCCCTTT